ATAATTTATATAATGAGAACGATCGATGACCGGATGTTGATGCACTCATTATTAACTATTTCTAAGCAACAACAAATTATAAATCCCACCATTAGAAAGTTGATACGCTATTAACTTTATAAACAACACAAAATCTATTGTCTCTACATCACAAAACAGTATACAAAACTTGACGCACGTGTTAACAATTAAAAACTTTTAGTCCAACAAATCACCGCTCTCAACGACAATTATATGTGGCCATGGCTATTACGAGACGTATATAACGGATCGTCGGACAGATCTCAAATTATAGTTTAGATACGGTGTTTTCGCACCCACACATTTCCGTGTATAAGTGCCTTAATGATCTGATATTATATTACAATATTGTGACTGGTCGGTCCCGTAGGGAAACAGTCAATGGATACGCTTAATTGGATCTTGAATGAAGTTAACATTATGGAGTTATAAATAATAATTTTCGATATTTGTGGTGGGTGTGATTATGAGATATCGCTTGTAATAGGCAATTTGGACGTGTTGATTTTTCTGACGGTAAATTTGATGGGTTTGAAAAGAGATCGTTTAAATTTGCAGTTTAAAGGTTGCGAACATGAGAGAGGGCTTTCGAAAGATACTGAACGATCCCGTGATGTTATGTCACGAGCACGGGGCGGCGCAAGCAGTGTGCGACCCGCGTGGGCGGCGACAGTTTAGAGATGCCGCTATTGATTAAATTCTCGAATCATCGATGAAATTCTATTGAATTATCATACATAACATTTTTACGTCATTGTTTACTAAAAGTTTAAGATAATTACTATAAATTAGAAATGATATTAGTCATATAATTAATTAGGGAGTGAGTGGGTTAAGCACACAAATTTTTTTAACCAAAATCGATCGAGCCATTTTCGAGTTTTTGTACTTTGCTTTGCGTATGTGGACTATGAGAAAGCTTTTGATTCCGTCGAAATTTCAGCGGCTGTCGGTATATCGAAGTGATGCAGTATTTGTACAGTAGGACTACGATGGATCTCCGAGTACAGAATCAAAGTACGAACGTATCCGACTGCAGAGAGATGTAAGACACGGTGACGTTACATCCCCGAAACTCTTCACCGTTGCGTCGGAAGACGTTATCAAGCTACTGGATTGGAAGAGATACGGTATTAACATCAATGACGAGTACATCATTGACCTGCGATTTGCCGACGATATAGTCATCGCGTCTTCTATATATGATTGTCACCTAAGCACTATGCTCAATGACCTCAATAGTGTCTCCCAACGGATAGGTCTTAAGATGAACATGGGCAAAACAAAGATCATGTTAATGTCCATGTCACATCTATGCCGGTAGTTGTTGGGAGCATTAAGCTCGAAGTTGTTGACGAGTATGTTTACCTGGGACAAATAGTCCGACTAGGTAAGTCCAACTTCGACCGAGAGTTCAATCGACGGATTCAACTCGGTTGGGCAGCGTTTGGGAAACTACGACACATCTTCTCGTCAGGTATACCTCAAAACCTGAAAACGAGATTGTACAACCAGTGCGTGTTGCCAGTGATGACTAATGGATCTGAGACGTGGTCTTTCACTACTGGCTGTATGAGGACCTCAAGGTCGCTCAGCGAGCTGTGGAGCGGGCTATGGTCGGAGTTTCCCTGCGTGATAAACTTACTTGATAAACTGAAATGAGGATATCTGCAGTAGAACATAGCCTAAGGGATTAGTAAGCTGAAGTGGCAATAGGCCGGCCATGTAGTTCGAAGAACCGACAACCGATGGGGAAAAAAGGTTTTCGAGTGGCGGCCTCGTACCTGTAGGCAAAGTGTAAGGTGACCCTACACTAGATGGAGTTACGACCTGGTAAGACATGCAGGAGGTCGATGGATGCAGGTGGCTCCGGACCGTGCTTTGTGGCATTCCTTGGGGGAGGCCTATGTTCAGCAGTGGACTTGTGAAGGGCTGTAATGAGGATGATGATAATGATGATAGAGTTTATTAATTTTGTATATCGATAGAATTGACACATCTTTTACACATCTCTAATAAATTCAAGCGCAATCTTTCGCTAAGGCCGTGGCGGCGTTGGCGACAGACAACATAAGGTCACAAACGGTCCCATAAGAGCAGACCTTTAAATATATAGTCTTGCAGATTAAATGTCGAATGCTATTTCATTTTCAGTCTAGCAATGTAAGCCCATCTTTTAAATACAACCTGTCTACATTGATTTATTTTGTTTATTAACTTCATTATTCGATCTAGGTCCAAAATATAACAATCTATTAAATTGTTTTGAATGAAGACCCGTACAAATTTAAATTGTTATTCGTGGTCAGGAAATTAGATCACCTTTTTGCAAAAAAACTTTCATATATAGGAGAAAGGTAATATACAGCATTATTTTTTTGTAGTGTGAAATTATTTTCAAAAAAATGTAATAGGTTTTTTTAATTATTCTGTGTAATTGTTATAAAAAGTTATAAAGTAATTAATAAGGTTATTTCACATCGTTCACAATTTTGTTAAATATCCTATTCCTATCATAATATTTATTTTTGGAGTTTTATGATGAAAAGCACTACTTTTAATAACAAGAGACTGTGTGGATTGTTATACTACTAGGTTTATCAATATGTTTTCATCAATATGGTTATAGAAATGTGTTCAATTTTTTCGAATCTTAAATTCGTTAGTAGCCAAGGCCAGAAAATAACAATTTTTTTCATTGAAGTATAATGTACTTACGTACTAGAACAGCAATTTCAAACAAAAACTGAGCGCTACTCTATGTCGTTGCGCATGCGCCGTAAACAGTCTTACCCCACGTGCGCGGTTTTTTTAATAGATTATGCGTAGGTAGAATGATCAACAGGTATTTAATTATTGTTTAGTTGGAGTACATAGATATATTGTTAATTAATTTATTAAAACGAGTTCAATTTTTAATAATTTGTCATTTATTTTGCATGATATGAGGAAAATTAATATGATAATATATAATATTATCACAATAGTATTTAAATTACATGTTTATATAAATATAAGATAACAATATACATTGGAAAGAATCGAATCTAATGAAATATATTTATATAAATGTGAACTGGGTCCCCAAAATCCCTAACCTAAGTTCGCGTGAGGCATGGACACAGAGCTGATACTTTTTATATAATGCCTTATTAATTACTGTGAGAAAACATAGTAAAACTTTAAAAACTTCTACCATTTCTGTTTACACATGAATTATACGTATATACACTTATTTGTTGTTTTTTTGCTGAAAATTTATTTCAGTTAATAAAATGTATAAATGTTATTGTCAAAATATGTATTAGGAATTTAATTAAGTGCCTTTAAACAATATAAGTTTTGTTAATTTTTGCCTTCTTCGTACTATATTTATCCTCTTCCTTAAAATGCAAGGAACAAATGTTGCATGATTTGTTGGTAACCACATCTATTCTCTATGACTATTTTGGACGAATTTAATCCACTTTTCTCGGTTTTCGTGGTTTGAACGTGGAAACCTAAAAATAAAATAAAAGAATAATCAGCAAATATAAACTTAGGAAATTTAACCTAATTATAAATACTGCTATTTATTTCTACAAAAAAAATTGTGCATAATATAATCGTCCTACACTTGCTCACAGAAATGTCGTATCTGCACAAATTAATTTCATAATCTATATTCCATGACACAAGTTCGCGCCAAAGAAATAACTTTTTAATTATTAATTTATAATGTTTTTTATTATTTAAGTATCTTAATTACCGATGAAAAGTGATTCCTTGGTTTTAACTAACATTTCGTGATTTTTTTGTGCAATATCTAAGAACACACCCCGGCATATTTTATCAAGATATTTTTTTTAAATCAACACAACACGTGACAACTCTACAAGCGCCTAACGAGCGACTGATTAAAGTGCGGTGACATTGCCGCACTTGAATGGAACAGCGTAACTTAGTGCAGTGTCGCCTCTAGTACATAATACATAATAACTCAATGATTTTTTTTCAAACTTCACATTTGGCGGGAACTTATCCTAGAGTTTCATTGCGTTCTTAAAAACTTATTGATCAACCTAGTATATTTGCATAATTATTGATATACACGCCACTGTAATATAATATTCCAAATATTGAATATGTTGCTCCTGAAACGCATAATATGCAAAAATCAACAGAGATAAAAAAATAATTTTATTTTAAATTAACCTGTGTAATATTTCATATCTTTTTTTTTCTAGAAATGGGATGACAAACGAGCACACAGTCCACCTAATGATAAGTGGTTGCTGTGGCCCATAGACATCTGCATCTATCATCGATTGCGAATTAAAATGCAGATGCGTTGTCAGCCGTGAGGACTAAGATAGAATGCCTCTTTTCCAGTAAAAAGGGTCATCGGTTCTCTACACTCACCATACGAAACACAGCAGCATTAAGCTGCTATTTTATGCTGGTATTCTGTGTGAGCGTGGTTCTTCCCCGGTCGAGCCGACCCATTCGTGCTACAACTATATAGTAAAGACACCAAAGAGTACGCACTACCAAAGAGTACGCACTACCAAAGAGTACGCACAGCTTTTAAATGGTACGAAATTTCAACACATGGCAGCACTGCGCTAACTGTCAGTTGACAGTGACGCTTGGAATCAGTAGACACGCTTTCAAGTTGGTGCGGTATTTATTAGTTTGATTATTGCAATTTAAAGGTTTTGAGTACTTTTAATCTTATTTATCAACAATTTCGAAGACGTATTACAAGATTTGCATAAGGGTGCCACCTGAATATGTGAGTTATTCTTGAAATTTGGTTATTATATTTTGCTATTAAGTAAGGTTATAAATGCGATCTTGTTGGAATGATTGTAACTGTCATAACCAATCGAATTAGCGTGAATCTTAAGAGTGCGCATGCGCACTCTTAGGTAGTAACTCATGGGGAACAAAGTAGCTTTTTTAATTATTTATCTTTTGTTTTTTTATAGATCGCAAATATGTCAAGTTATAAAAGAAAATCAGATAGAAAATTGGTATTTACTGAAGAAATTTTAAAAGATGCAAAGGAAAGAATACGCCGTGGGCAAAGTCAAAGATCAGTTGCAGAGTCTTTGAATGTCCCAGAATCGACTCTAAGAAAAAGACTAAAAGCAGGCACTGTTCCTTGCTCTTTAGGTAGATTTTCAAATGTATTTACTCCTGAATTAGACAGTAACTTGGCAGAGCACTGCCGACGCTTGGATTTATGTTTTTATGGTCTGACGAAGAAGGAGCTAGGAAGAGTCGCTTATGATTTAGCAAATAAAAACGGTCTTAATCATAGATTTAATAATGATAAAAAGGAAGCTAGCAAGAAATGGGTTTGAAAAAACAAGTTTGGCACGTGCTGCAGGATTCAATCGTGTACAAGTGCAACGATTTTATGATAATTTAAAACAAGTACTTACAACCTTCAAATTTGTTGGCAGACACATTTTCAACATGGATGAAACTGGCCTCCAGACAGTGCCAAACAAGTTACCTAAAGTTTATGCTAAAAAAGGCAAGAAAATTGTAGGAAAAGTTGTGTCCGCAGAACGTGGACAAACAGTAACGGCTGTTTGTTGTATGGGTGCTACTGGAATATTCGTACCACCTGCATTAATTTTTCCTAGAAAGCGGCAAAAACCCGAATTGATGGATGGAGCTCCAGAGGACTCCCTACAGCTTGTATCCGATTCTGGTTATATGAACTCAGATCTATTTATAATCTGGCTCAATCATTTCATTAAGATGGTCAAGCCATCTAAAGATGAACCTGCTCTTTTGATTTTAGATAATCATTCATCTCATTTAAGTTTACAGGCTATTGAATTAGCTAGGGATCATAGAGTTGTTCTTTTGAGCTTAGCACCACACACAAGCCATCGCATGCAGAGTTTGGATACAGGATTTTTTGGACCATTAAAAAAAGCTTATGCAGTTGCATGTGACAATTGGCAAGTTTCAAATCCAGGTCGTGCTATAACTCAATATCAAGTTGCTCGACTATTTGGCACTGCATACCTTAAGGTTGGTTCAATTGACAGAGCCAAGAAATCATTCGAATCTTGTGGCATCTGGCCTTTTAACGATCAGATTTTTTCCGATGAAGATTTTGCTCCTGCAAATGTCACTGACCGTCCCAATCCAACTGCAGAAACTTCAAGTACAGGCGAAGCCCTTAATAGTTCAAATCTAGCTGTTGAATTGCTACTTACAACTACAGAAACTGTTACCCAAGTTGGCTAGTCACCTATACCCGTCAATACTAATATTTCAGCTCCAGTTATAGCATTATCTCAACTCGGAGGAACCGAAACCCTTGAATCAACTGATAATCACCAGGAAGTAATAACAACACCAGAAAATGACGAGCCAACACCATCCAAATCATCTTTTCTTAGACCAGAAGACATCTTACCATTACCAAAGTCAAACATTCAGAAAAAAAGAAACATAAAACGTAAGAAATCAGAAATCCTTACCAGTTCTCCTTATAAAAATCAAATAGAAGCAGAACAAAAAGAAAAAGAAGAAAAGGCCAAGAAGACAAAGAAGACATCAAATAAAAATAAATCTACGACACCAAATAGACCAACACTGCTGGAAACAAGTACGGGTACAGAAGTTGTTCGATGCCCCCTTTGTGCCGAAGTCTACGTAGAACCTCCAGATGAAGACTGGATCCAATGTAGTCAGTGTGGGGCTTGGTGGCACGATGAGTGCTCTGACTATCTAGGATTCGGAGTTTTTAAGTGTGACGTTTGCCTTGGTTAAAGTAGATGTTTCACCATGGACAAAGCTTCCATTACCCTCATGCGTACTCTTAACTAGTACTAAGAGCCATGGATGCGCACTCTTTAAGTCATTGTACCTTAAGAGTGCGCGTGAGACACGTCCTTGTTTTTATTAATTATTAAATATTAATGTATGTTGATTAATAATAAGAGTAAAAAAAAAGTGTTCCTAAAGAACCAAAGCCTAATTATAAGTAAAATTGAAGACTTAACTCAAAAGTTGATTATTTTAAAAATAAATCTGTCAAAACTGCGCACTCTTTGGTATCTTTACCCTACTATAAATATAGCTGCAGCATGGCTCTACCAAATCTGAATTATATAAATGTTACCATAGAGTAATTAGACTATTCGTTCTATTAATGTCACTTTTTGTTTATTGTTATTGTTGTTATTAATTATTTAAAATAATAAAGTTGTGCATTCCGTTATGCATGGTGTTCGTAATTTTTCTCCTCCAAAATTGCTTGACCGATTTTGATGAAATTATTATGGGATAACTAGATCAACTAGATAGTTCTTAGCTATAGTTGGACCCGGTAGGTGTCGATGTTGTCCAGCTCTAGAAATAATCCGTACGAAGTCATTACTGATCTATGTTATTGTATAAAAACATAATCCTACAAAATATATAGTTATGTGTAAAGGTCAGTACATATATATTTTAGAAAGGCATTTTAAAGTGTGTAATGAGTAGATAAAGGTGGCACAACCGGAAACCGGAAAATAAATAGCAAATATTCACTTAAACGAGTTCTTTACAAGTTAAGTTGAGCATGTGAACAACGTGTTTGTTCCGTTTACGTATTGATTTAGATAAACGTTAGACGTAGTTTTTTTTTAAATAGAATATGGGTGACAACGAGCGTATAGTCCACCTGATGGAAAGTGGATACTATGGGCCATGGACATCTGTCCTCGAATAAGAATCAAATTGCAGATGTGTTGTCACCACTGAGGATTAAGATGGCATGCCTTGTTACCAGTAAAATGTTCTCTGATTCTTAAAAATCACCACACGAAACAGAGCAGCATTGGTCTCACTCCGGCCGAGCCAATGTATTGGGTGCTGCGTGGATCTACCATGTAAGACGTCACACACTTCATATTGAAGCCTTCTGGACAGCTCAAAGACAATTACGAATCTAATCTCAGCTGCAGCGAATATTTATATACAAATGCAAAGACTACTGGGCTTTGAATCTGCATAATATATTATTGTTCTTCCATGCATCAGTTCTCTGAGTTTGGCCATTGTTTCTTCACACTACTAGCTGATAATGAATACACACTTCTAGTTGAGAAGAGAACATGTTTCCCCTCTTATGCCTATTTTCAACCGACTTCAAAAATAAGGAGGTCGCTTTCGACTGTATTTTTTATGTTTGTTATTACCTCAGAACTTTTTTCTAGGTGAACCGATTTTGATGATTCTTTTTTTAATTCTATAAAAAAAATAACCATTTACTGGTGATTCTCATGTGGTCCCATATAACAAATATAAAATTCGTTCAAGGTCTGACCAGTAGTTTTTGAGTTATCCTTAATAATGCGTATTTAATTGTGTTCGACTACATTTTATTTCTATTGAAGTCGGTTGAAAAAAAATTTTAATTTTACCACTTGTTTTTTTACATAGGATAGGGTGACAAGCGAGCACACAGTCCACCTGATGGTAAGTGGTTGCTATGACCCATAGACATCTACATCTATCCTCGTTTGCGAATCAAAATGCAGATGCATTGTCAGCCGTGAGCTGTAATGCCTCTTTTCCAGTAAAAAAAGGTTCAATTTTATAAAAACAAAATATGAAGAAACTTTGTCCCCGACCCGAATTGCATTAATGTAAATTTTAATTCAGTTCAATAATCCTACTAATATTATAAACATGAAAGTTTGTGAGGATGTATGGATGTATGGATGTTTGTTACCCCTCCAAGCAAAAACCACTGAATTATTTTAATGAAACTTTACAATAATATAGCTCTTACATCAAAACAACACATAGACTATAATTATAAAAATATTGTGTAAATTGGTGAAAATATAACGACAAGTGTTAAATAAGTTGGAAAATAGCTTGCAAACATTGTAAGAGTTACACAAATATAATGTATGCTGAAATTGTTTTTTCTAAATAGTTCTACAAAAAATTCTGCGACAGTATAAATCTATATTTTATGTGTAAGCCATTATTACCAAAATAATGAACCATAAATACAATAAAATTGGATACCTACTTTGTTTCTAATGAACATTTTGCAGTAACAAATTGATTTTATCAAAATAAATACTGTAATCGCTTCTGACATTCCTCTCTACGCTCACCATACGAAACACAGCAGCATTAAGCCGCTATTTTAAGCTGGTATTCTGTGAGAGCGTGCTCCTTTCCCGGTCGAGCCAACCCATTCGTGCTACAACTATACTACCAATATAGCTGCAGCATGGCTCTACCACGTATAAAATGGAAGTAACAAACGAACTAACAGTGACTGGCTACTGCAGATTACAGATGCGTTGTTCATCTCTGAGGACTAAAATGGAATGCCTCACATGTTATTATTCTGACTCTCTATACCTTTTACACCGAAACGCTTTAGTGACAGGAACACGTATTGCTGCTTGACGGCAGAAATAGGCGAAACCACCTAGTTACGAGTAGTGATTTCTTCAAACTGTATTACGCATTCCGCCAAATGGCATTTACTTGTGTCCTGCTAGCATTTGGATGGCAATGCCGTAGTCGATATTAGTTTGGGAAACATCACATTGAATGAAGGACAACATTTTATTCATGGATAATAATACAAGCAATATTCAGAGAGATGCTGCGCGCCAACGGTCTCTACGCGTTGCATACAGCATGGAACTTGTGGACGTGCTCCCCCGCCTTGTACACGCCTTCCATTGTCTTCCGACGGATTATCATAATTTCCCAGCAAATCAAAATCATTTGGGAATCGAATGATCTGAGCGGGGAAGATTTTTGAATCGATTCGAATAGTGTATCTATAATGTTTTGACATCCTTTAGGCTTTCCCAACTTAATATACAATAAAACAAGAATGAACACCGTTACCGTTACAGAATATTGTAGTCCACTGTTGAAAGTAGACCTCCACGATAGATTGCCTTATAGAGGGATATTTACCATAGTTGCCACCTCCTGATTTTCCTTCTGTCGCATCTTACTAGGCCCATGGATTGGTATGGAATAGTGGATATTTTTACACCGCCACTACACCGTACAGAAATGAACACGGCGTCAGTTAATTTAAAATTGGAAGAATACGATTATCTTATAATAATCAGAAAATTTGACATGTAAAGGTACCGTTTGAATAAAAAAATAAGCAGCTTATTAGAATTATTGAAGTGAAACTTGTAAACTTGAAGTGAAATTGTAGCACGAATGGGTCGGCTCGACCGGGGAAGGACCACGCAATCACAGAATACTAGCGTAAAATGGCAGGTTGACGCTGCTGTGATTCGTATGGTGAGTAGGTATAGAGAACCGGAGACCCATAATACTGGAAAAGAGACAT